ATTCTCTTTCTTTCATGACTCTTCAAAAATGTCTTTTAACTATATTTAGACTTCATCCAATGAGGCTCATTTATTATAATCCCATTAGACATTATTAAATCAATTAAAGTATATAATTTAGTAGACACTGTATTGAGCCTAATTTAAAATGTATATGTTGGAACAATAATGGATCACTGTGTTGTCAGATACGGTGGTTCTTCCTCTGTTGCTGATAATGCTGAAACTGTTTTTGAAAAGTAAAAGCCATCTGCAGCTGCTTTGAAAGTCAATTAACATTATGTTAATTAGCACTTATTTACAGTAGTTGATTAACAATATCAAACTACAATAATGAATAAGCAGTTAACATTAAAAAAAAAGCTGGTGACATTAAGTTTTATCCTTTGGCATCAAGTGAAAAGCATTAATTCTTTCAGAGACTAAAATGAGATTCATTGAAATCTGCTTAAATAAGAAATAAACTAGAAAAGGAAATGAGAGGTCCCAAAGAGGTGGGGTTAAGGGGTGGCCCTGGGTCTTAGAATGTCACAGATGAGAAAACCACTAGTTGAGTAGCCAGTTAAGCAAAAGGGGAAGGTAAGAAGTAGGTGAAATTATTTCCTTATTCAGTGGCTTGTTAACACATGCCAAATTATCACTGGAATTTTGGCAGTTAGGAGTTCCAAATGACTTGATGATCAAATTAAGATGTCACAGTCAACTCAGGTCCTGACCTGTTAGCATCAACCTCTGTGCATGAAGCAGTCAGGGAGTGAGGGGGAAAGAGAGGAGCTGATTTTATTAGGAACATTTTGACATATTAAAATTTGACATCAGAAAAAAACATGCCAAGAGTTTGATCTCTTGCTTGCTTTCTTCTCTCCCTATGAGTCCTAAGAAATAAGAAAGTCAAAACTGAAAGGGACTAAGATGTTTTCATAAAAAAGTAAAGCCAGTGCTGTCACCAAATTTCCAGTTGATCTTAAGTGATGTTATCAATAAACAAATGAATCACAATTTCACCATCATACATGGAGAAGTACATTTGCCACCTGTGTATTCATCCTCTATAACTGGTAACCAATGCTACATGTTCCTTGATGAAGGAGAAAAAATAAATTATTCTGCTATTTTGTCTTTTAAGAATGTTAAAGCACTTTTTAACACAAGAGGTCCAGTTGATGATGCAGGGAGAGGAACTGTGGAAAGCAGTTTCCCATGTTTGGAGGGTCCACACCTGTCCCTTTCAAATGCTGGCACTTTCACACACTCTGGCTTCTCTCCAGCCAATGCTTTTGGCTCTCAGGCCCCGGGGGCTGCCGAGTGAGTGGCAGTGAGGAGACTTGGAGCTTTCCTTCCTGTTATCAGAGCCAGGCTGTGTCCGTGTCAGGTTGAGGAGGATTGAGATTCCTTCTTGAGCCAAGTTTGATGTGAAAAACACCTGCAGATCATCCCTGACTAAGTGGGGGCATTCTCACAGATGTCAGCTTGAAGAAAGATAAGGTAACACTGGAGAGCAAATCCTTGTCATGAGCTCCTGCTTTGTGACCTCCTCATCACCCTCAGGGTGCTGCCTGGGATCTGGACTTGTTTGGAAGAAGCCTCAAGGGAAAGCAGTGGCTCCCCTCAGGTTGGTGACCTGGATCCCAGCTCCCCTGGAGGGGCCTCCTCATGGTTATTTTGGGGCTGATCACAGACACTGTGTAGCAGAGGGAAGAGTGATATTGCTGTATGACCATAGCCAGATCTATCTTCGGTTGGCTCAGCACAGAATGGAAGGACTTTGCCCCTCTGTAAAAGGGGGCAGATGGAAAGTCCTGCGATTCTAGGGACTTGGGGTTCAGAGCTGGAGACCTTCACTTAGCTTTGCCTCTCCCTAGCAGATGCCACAGAGCACTGCAGACCCAAAAATCTGGTTTCCTTCCATCTGGACCAGGTCATCCAGTGGCCACCATGTCCCTCTGCCTACTGCTGTGTAACTTTTTAGAATCAAAAGTTTGTGTTGGAGTTTCTGTGTGTGCACATTGTCCTCTCACCTGCTTCAATAAATCTTGAAGCTGCCACCCCCCCCAAAAAAAAGAGGTCCACTGTGTCATAAACCTTCCTAAGAAACTTTTTCTTTCTTAAAAATGCTGGCAAGCTGGCTTTGCCTTGAAGTTACAATACTCTGTAGCAATGAAGGCAAAACATATTTGCAATGAACAGTTAATGATTTTCACCATTGTAAGTATGCAAACATCTACGCATTTATGAAACTAGATATCCAGTCTCTCATGTCTCTGTAGGCTTTATATGATTTTCCTGCCTAACTATAATTCCCAGTCCATGAAGTAGGATGAATAATTAGTAATCTGGGAGATGGCCTGTCAGTATTGGATGAAATTTGCAATTCCACTGATCTTAATGGTTATGTACAAATTTGGAATATGGACACAGAACATTTTATTGAAAAAAAAATGCCTCAACTTTTTCATTCTCCACCTCACTCCAAGTGACACCAATGGACAAGCACTGATCAGGAGTTCAAAACTAGCTTTTTAAAACACTCATTTACTGAAAAGCAACTGATGAGAGGCTGAAAAGCCTAGTTTCTCAGATAATTTTCACCCCACTGAAGCCAATAATTGTAGCTTAAAAATGGTGGCTTTATATTTTAGCTGTAAATCTCACTTTCAGCAGATGTGTTCTGAATCTGCTCAGCTATCCGTTGGCTTCAGTTAAATGAACTATTTTTGTTATACATGCAGAATGCTAGTAAAAATAAAAGGCTCTATAAAGTATTTCTTTTAATAAATGTGATTAGCTAATACCAATCAGTTTTCCTAAAGACTTAAGATAGGGAGTTTTTTGCTTGTTTGTTTTGTTGTGTTTTCTTTTGTATCTTTGTTTTTCTGTTTTTTAATAGCCAGCCTAAAGTGTGATATGACAGCAGGGCACCATGTTATTTTGTTCATTGGATCTCCATTATTTTTAATTGAAGTCCAATCAGTTAAAATGTGTCAATTTCCAGTGCACAGCACAATGTCCCAGTCATGCATACACATACAAATATGTGTTTTCATATTTTTTCATTAAAGATTATTACAAGATATGGAACATAATTCCCTGTGCTATGCAGAAGAAAACATTTTTAATCTATTTTTATAAAAAGTGGCTAACATTTGTAAATCTCAAACTCCCAAATTTATTCCTTCCCACCCCCTTTCACTGGAAACCATAAGATTGTTTACTTCTCTGCAAGTCTATTTCTGTTTTGTAGATGAGTTCACAGTGTCTTTTTTTTTTTTTTAAGATTCCACATATGAGTGATATTATACGGTATTTTTCTTTCTCTTTCTGGCTTACTTCACTTAGAATGATGATCTCTATGTCCATCCATGCTGCTACAAATAGAATTATTTAATTCTTTTTATGGCTGAATAGTATTTCATTGTATAAATATACCACAACTTCTTTATCCAGTCATCTGTTGTTGGACATTTAGGTTGCTTCCATGTCTTGGCTATTGTATGCAGTGCTGCTATGAACATTGGGGTGCATGTATCCTTTTGAATTAGAATTCTCTCTGAATATATACCCTGGAATGGGATTGCTGGATCATATTGTTCCATTTAATTTTAATATGATTCCAGTTACCTTTTGCATCAAAGCATGGAAATTTTTAATATTTTTTATGAAACATTTCCCTCCCTTACTAGCAACTTTGAGATTTAGATAGGCCTGAACTTGCCTACCCTTGTTCTCACACAGGAGACCAGTTACTTGAAAAATAAAGTATATTTTTTTCATAGTGAATTAAAAACCATTGCATATTAAATCAAACTATGCCAGGCAGACTAATGAATATCCAGCTGTGTTAGGAATAATGTGATTCAACCCTTCAATAACCTTGTAAGTTAGGCATTATTATTCCTATATATATGTTAGAAAACTGACACTCACAGAGGTTAAGAGAGGAGTTCAAGGTGACATAACTGAAAGCAGCTAATGACAGATTTAGCCTCCTTCTATGATTCCTGTACCAGTGTTCTTTCTACCACAGAACATTTTGTTCATTTTGTGAAGAAAATCAGAAAGATAGCTGATATTATTAAGATGATGCCCTGACCCCCAATGTTTTAATTCAATTTTGAGCTATGCTGTCTTTGATTTGGATTGGTCCTCTTTTCTCTTAAAAATCAAAACTAATGCCAAACTCTCCATTATCATTAGAATATCCAGAAAAGGCTGGCTTAGTCTCCTGTTGCATCTCTTCCAGTTTAGGGATAAAGTAGGCATATCTACTATTAAGCTTTCAAATTTAGAAGTCAAAGGAGGTAAGAAAGCCAAAATAATCTTTGGAAGTTAATGATAACTTTCTTATCCTGCCACGGGTTCTCCATCTTTCTTGCTTTGTTAGAGACCATTTCTTCCTGCTTTCTCTTCTCACAACTGTGCAGTGCTTGCATTTTCTTAAATATTCCTATGTATGGACTTATCTTCAGTATTTCAAACTCATTGAAAACTAGCCCTTTAAAGAAAGCCCAGTGTAGGAAAGAATATGGGCTTTGTCACAAACTTGGCCTCAAATTCCTTATGTGACTCACCCCCACACTGTAAGAATAGGCAAGCTAGTAACCTCTGAGCCTTGGTTTCCTGATGAGATTTGCTCTACAGAGTTTTTGCTGAGTAAGATAACATTAACATTATGTCTGAGACAGCAGGAAACTTCTATGGTAAAAATTACTCCCTTTCTCTCCATCCCCCTGTGTTAGTTCATCTAGAGGCAGCTCATTTCCTATGAAGCAACTTTCTCCATTGCTGCTCTTTCTGGCCTGCATAGTAATTCATTTATTCATTATTTTTTTATTGTTGTTGTTATTTTGGTAAAACACACATAACATAAAATTTACTATTTTTATGACTTTTAAGGGTACAGTTCATGTTGTTCTGCAACCATTACCAACATCCACCTCAGAACTATTTCATCTTCACTCTGTACCCACCAAACATTAACTCCCCATTGCTTCCTCCTGTCAGCCACTGGCAACCACCATTCTACTTTCCTTCTCTACCAATTTGACTATTCTAGGCATGTCATGTAAGTGGAATCTCACAGTATTTGTCCTTGTTTCCCACAGCATAATGTCCTCAAGGTTCATCATTGTTATAGCATGTGTCAGAATTTCCTTCCTTTTTGACAATGAATAATATTCCATTGTATGTCTATATCATGTTCTGCCTGTACATTCATCTGGATGGTGATTTTGATCATATGGATGCTTGGGCAAGAACCTGAGACCGACTGACTTCCCTCAGAAAGGACTTCTGTAGCTCATTCTGGGAGTTGGGTAGGTTAAGTAGCCAGGGAGCCCCCAGGAAACCTAGCGCTGGGTGGGTTGTCCTCGGCAGCCCCCTCCGCGCTTTCTCCTCTCTGTGATCCAGTACTTTTTGCTTATTGTCTTTTCCTTCCCCTGTATTGGGTGTACCATTTAAATAGCAATAGCCCAACTCAAACCCTAAACCCAAGCTTTCATTCTGATAGTAAACTAGGCAGCCACCCAGTGTGAGGACAGGTATGTAACAGTTACTGTGAGTTTAAAAATCTTCCTGAAATGGAGCTTGGATTGATGACTCAAGATTTTTATGCCTGTGATTTTAGGAGAGAATTTATTTTTATTCATCTGTTTCTCTGTCTCTGTGCTCTCCTCCCTCTCTTCCTGCCCCTCTTACATTTCTCACGCTTATGATACTTCTTTTGCTATGATGATACATTTGAATCTACATTCTTTCCCTGAAATGGGTGCAAAGAATCATAGTATTAACCCAGCTAAGTAATTTTTTAATTCAATAATATTTCTAGGAAATTCTCTCCTTTTGGTTCATTTCATTTTGTATCTCTAGGTCTCCAAATCTTAGGAGGAAGAGAAGAGTGAAAGCTAAACACCACAGCACAATATTGTGTAGTTTAATGGGAATTTGAAATAATGGAAAGCCGGGTATAAATACAATTCACTGACACCAAACTTCCAGGTTAGTCCTCAAGACATTTGTCTTTTTAGATAATTGTTTCAACCCCAAACCCACTGTAGGTAAAAAGAGCACATGAAACATTCATATTTCTCTTTAGAAAATGAAGAAATATATATCAATATGAGTTTCTTGACTTCAGAACACTGAAAAGTCATCAGGGGAAAATGTGTGTTTTCCCCAACCTAGGCAGCTCTCTAATTCTCTCTTTAAAAAAGGGAATGAGTGATTTTTATCAGAAGCTTTTAAAAACCCAAGTC